TAAGAGACAGGCACTAAACTAACCTTTATATATCTACACACCATCCTATACTATTATTTTCCCCATTTTCAATGTTAAAACAACACTTTTTAAGGATTTAAAGATAGTTTCTGCATGAGAAATGCCTGAAATCATAAACTTTAAAGGCTGTTTTCTCATATATTGTTCTTTAAACAGCATTGTGGTTAAACGCTTGTAACTTCATAAGGAAATGTCCGATTTGAATGATTTTTTTACCATTTTATAGCTATTATTTTACTCTTTAACACTGTATTAATAACACAAAATCGATTTTTGCGACGAGTGACTGGTTTGGTTTGTCTTTGCCACATATATATATATATATATAGGCGAGACTTTTTTTATTCCTTTTTTAGCATAATTTTTTTTTTTAAAGATCATCAGAGGAGGGTGGAATAAAAATAAAATTGAAATTTTGTTTTCTTATTTAGCAAATATTTTGCCAACAACATTCAGACGGAGGAGGAAATAAAAATAAAATTTGTTTGGAGATTTCATGGCAGTGGAAGGCGGAATAGAGATAAAGAAAACTTTCATTTTTTTTTGGAAATTTTCACTTTTTCGTGGCAGCGGGATTTTTGCAGTCGGTGGGTTCGCAAACAAGGTATCAAAAAAAGTCTAAGCTTAGAAAAAGATTTTGACAGTGTGAATGTATCAGGTGGGCGGCAACATTGGTTAGCCCTCGAGGCATTGGTTTAATTATCCAAGATTGTCAAGCCATTATAAAGTTAGCTTTTATGTCATAGTTTTATGGTCACTGGCAAAGCGCTTAGCTACAGATATATCAAACAGATTAAACCGGATGGATCTTCGATGTTAAGATTCAGATTTGATTTATTCAATCATTGTATACACCATAAAATTTGTTTGCTTGGTAAAATAAACACGTACACATACAGAACATGAAAATCATGATAAGGTATGAAAGGAGCTCTCAAATACAAAACTCTGTGTGCAATTAAGCTTTTTTTGGCATTTTGACAAAAAAACAAAATTTGTGTTGCTTAGGTTCAAAGAAAGCTCAATATGATTAAGGGAATTAAATAGCAAAAATTGTAACAAATTTTGATAATATTATACAAAATATGATACTTTCTTATGTGTAATATATTATTCCACATCATGTATAAAAACTATTTTAAGTGAGAAAATCAAACATATGATTTTAAAACCATTACAAAAGGTGGCCAGTAACCAACAGTTAGATTGTGACTTAAAGTAGGTCACAGAACTCGTTTTCAAAAATTAAAAATTACAAAAATTACACAAACTTGAATTCATTTTAGGAAAAATGATTAATATTATTCTTGACCGATATTTAATATGTCCTGAGACAATACAAATAATGGAGACTAATTAATACGATACACTTCAGATTCATGATTTGGAATACACAGTTCTACCATTTTAACAAATGTTAGCCTGAGAACGCCCAAGACATGAGCTCCCATGCCTTAAAGAGGTATGTTCATGAACCTTCTATAATATACCATATCATATTTTATTAGGTATTAATAATACTTCGAATTAGGCTAGACAATTAAATACATGAACATGACACCTCCAAAAGAGAACAGCTTAGCTCAGTTAGCAAAACTGTTAGTAGCCACTATGCACTTTACTGTCAGAGACCTTGTGTTTCAGTAGGAATGATTCAGATGAAATGTTTATGCCTTTGGTTATGTGCAATTATGGCTCATGTACACATTAAAGAACACAGTACATTTTTTGTAAAAGATTAGAAGATTGTCCAAAAGGATGTTACGTTAGGAGTGTCCATTTACTGAAATAATTGAAAGAATAAATGAATTTAAACTGTTATCTTGTTAGTAATAAGTTAGCAAAACAAGGTATAAAGGTCTCGTTTTACATACCATGCTTGCTGTGCCTTGTTTTGATAATCATCTGTATTTTGTCCTCACCAGTAACGTTACTGGTGTCTGCACTGTTGACTACTAAAACGCTGATTTCAACGCTGAAGGAACAAAAAATTATAAAATTCATATTTGCAATTCTTTTACAGGAATTTAATGAGAGTTAGAGAAATACTAGAATTAAGAGTGGAAGCAGATTAAATATTTTAAAGAGGAATAAAAAGGAGTAACTGTAGTAAGAATTTATAAACAAAAATTATGAAAACAATTGATGAAGTAGATTAGATTCAAAGAGAATGAAAGAAAATCAAGATAAGAATCAAAGAGGAAGCAAATGTGAGAGAAAAAACAAAAAGCAATTGAAAAAATAGAATAGTGGAAGAATAAAAAGCGAGTACTTATAGACGAAAATTTAAAAAAAAGAAGTTTACTAGGTCATTCCATGCCAACTCAGCCAATAAATTACACATGGGTCATACTTTTTTTTTAAACAGTAACCTATGTTTAACACATTCTATACATCAATATTCCTCCAGGCACAATGCTATATCTAACATTATTTCTCATCAATAATCTAAAATTCTTAGAAATATTAACAGGCACGACAAGAGTTAAAGCTATGTAGGAGGATTTGTGTTAAAACTATCTGTAATTTTCTGGTTGATTCATAATCAGGTAGTACTGATAAAGGTAGATGACAATAAAAAAGAACAAAGGAGAGAGTACATGAGAATAAAAATGAAGTACATTTAAAGAAAAAAGAAGAAGTTGGTAAGTATTATAAAGTGGAGAGAGAAAGTAGGTGACAATAAAAAAAAGAAGAAAAATAGAAAGCTTATGAGAATTTGAAGTTGGAGTGAGAACACAAAGATATAGAAAATAAGTAGTACAAAAATATAATTGATAATAATAGATAAAACAATAAATATACAATAAAGAACAATAAATTTTCTCATTACTTTTTGTATTCTATAATACCAAAAAATAAATGCTTTCAAAAATTCAAACGAAAAGGAAGATTAACTAATACTAATAATAAGATGGGATTTTAGTGATGGATTTAACCACCTTGGATACACTTATCTTAATGCAGACAATTTTTGAGACATGGAAAGTATATGCCACTAATTACAGAAAATGTAGTAGGCCATATGATTAGCGCAACTAAGCTCTCATTCGTTAGCTCTCTGCTTTAGGGGAATACAAGTTAAAATTAAGAATATGCTTTCTAAACTAACGCTTTCTAAATTCAAAGTCAACAGTACTTTCAGGGTTCAAACCAAAAAAATACATGGTAATGTATGAGACGATCTCCATTATTACGGTAGTTTAAAATGATTTGACAAATAAATATTTTAAAGAGGAATAAAAATGTGTACCTATAGTAAGAATTAATAAACAAAAATTATGAAAACAGTTTATGAAGTAGTTTAGATTCGAAGAGAATGAAAGAAAATCAAGATAAGTATAAGTAAGAGGAAGCAAATGTGACTGAGAGAAAAAAACAGAAAGCAATTGAAAAAATAGAATAGTGGAAGAATAAAAAGAGAGTACTCATAGATGAAAATAAAAAGAGAAGATTACTAGGTCATTCCATGCCAACTCAGCCAATAAATTACACATGGGTTATACTTTTTTTTTACACTAACCTATGTTTAACACATTATATACATCAATATTCCTCCAGGCACAATGATATAATCTAACATTATTTCCCATCAATAATCTAAAATCCTTAGAAATATTAACAGGCACGACAAGAGTTAAAGCTATGTAGGAGGATTTGTGTTAAAAATATCTGTAATTTTCAAATTCAACAGTACTTCCAGGGTTCAAACCAAAAACCTTGGGTTCATGGGAATGTATGTGACGATCTCCATTATTACAGTAGTTTAAAATGATTTGACAAAGGAATGACAGAAAAATTAAGTGTGGTGACTTGCTTAAAACTATGAAATCATTATACTAGTAGATGTAACTATATCTATAACTCTCTTCCCCACTGGCTAATGCTAACTATACTAATACTGTACTAAGTATTTTACATATCATGAATACTTAACTATAAAATGAACAACTAAACAAGAACTTACATAACCACCACAATATGCCAAACTCTTTTTTTTTTTTTTTTTTTTTTAGGTTTATCTATGTACAGGTTACTGTATTTGCAGGTCTAGTTATATATGCTGATTGCCTTTGTGAAAAAGTATTTCTTAAATAATTATTTATACAAGTATTATACAATATATACTGTAAGATACAAGATGTCTTTATTTGTGGTAAAGCCATATAAGCTATAAGATACAGTACACTGCCTTCAGACATGCAGCAATAACGCTCAAACTAGACCTCTGTGAGTGCCGCTGTTTCTGTGTAGTCATTTTTGTAAACAGATCCAGGAATTTTCTTTAAAGAGAGCTCAAAATATACATACATATTTTTTTAAGTTCTTAATTCAGATATAATGTTAGGGATGTTTTCTAATCTATAGCGATACTCATTGCATTTTTGGTAGTACATTCTCTAGAGTCCAAATATCATTTGGAGAGGTCAACCATCACCCAACTACTTCTGGATTTCATCAAAATGGACATTCAATAATCCACGGTACCATTACAAGTTTTGGATGGAGAGGGTAATAACGTTCTCGTGTATTGCTTTAATATTTATCCAATACTGTTTTCAAGTAATAAGGCACAATTACATGATCAACAATACATGCTGTATGCAAAAATTCATAATCAACAGGTGTTTGGAAAAGTTAAGTCTGCCAGAGTTATTTACATTGTACTGATCATTTACTGGATGAGAACTAGTATATACAATCATCTTCTTTTTTGGGTGAGATTCTTGATAGTACTGTAATTAAGTTTATTTTTAGGTAATCTTCAGCCTTGTTTTGTATTCATATTTTTGTATGTTGCCTGGAAATAATACATAAAATGAATTATGGTATAGTAACTCTAATGATACTTATTCTGAATATGCAAATTTTAATTATGAAAATTATAATTACCGGTACGCAACTTCTAATATGCAAGTTCTAACTATGCTAATTCTAATTATGCAAATTCTATTTATGTAAATTCTAATTATGCAAATTCTAATTATACTTATTCTAATTATGCTAATTCTGATTAGGCTTATTACATTTTTCTGATTGGATTGGTAGCCTTTCCAATCCGAAAATTCGGATTCAGTATGAATGCAGCTTAACACTAGAAAACATTCCATCACGTCGCTGTATTGTCAAGGGATATGAAGTGAGGGCCTGAGGGCACCCTAATTATTTTTTTATCTCACAAACTCACATACTTTTCAAGGTACTAATTAACATTAACAATAATACAAATAGGAGTGAGTTCCATTTGCTTATGGGCCTCAGTACACTGTCTTGACTGCTCAACCTAGGCCTAGCCTGCTATATGAAACTAATCATTTACTTACAGTTAAATAATTTATTAATAACGTGTGTGTGTAATGCACATGTGGAACATAGATTACCAAGGCATTTATATATTCTGATGCCTTCAGCTAGATTTTATTACAATTATTTGCCAATTATAATCTTATCCATCTCTTCATTTATCTCATCCATGTTTCAAGGGTTTTCATATTTTTGTTTTTTATATCATGTATTTATTTAGTTTTGATATAGATTATATAAATTTAGTGCAATTTAGGTTTTGCGTAATCTTGCTAACAGACAGACAGCGTTTGAATACAAAAAATTACTTTGGTGGAGGTAAAAATAGCTAAAACAATAGTCCTTTCTATGTATTTCTTGTCAGTTGTCCTCTCACAGAGGAAGAACAAAGGTCAGGTTTGAAATATTTGTGTATTAATAAATTATATTACTTCATAACTTTAATATGGTGTTATAATCACATCATGGAGACAGTAATAGTGCTGCAAAAACTATTTCAAGGGTTCAGAGTTTCAAATAGTGTAAAAAATCTAACCCAGTTAACCCAGATGTTAAAACTATAGCGGGAGAATGTAGACTACATACAATCAAAATTAAATCTACCGAACACACCTGCACTTGAATCTTTTCATATCCATTACAAAAGGAACAGAGTTCATCCTTTAAACTTTTATCACAGCTAATAGGTTCCTTCAATTATTGTCACATTTACTGAAGAGAAAATGCCATTAATGTAACGTTTAGATTGAAATAGCAGGTGCGTTCTAAATAACTTACAATTAATGTCATTAAATTGTACTCAATACCATCATTTTCATGTAATTCTAATATGCTGTCTTTTTTTTAACTAGTTCACATTCATGTTGTTTCTAATCCATATCCATTAAACCTCAACAAAAAATTTAATTAATTGTTCAATTACAATGATTCTAAATTTAAGCATGCAAAAAATCTTAGCCCCTGCCTTGACTATCAAAGTCTATTTGACAACACATGTGACATTCCTAAATATGGTCAGGATGACATCACATCATGATGATATATAGACACACCATGACTATATATGGGCATACAACAGTTATTTGTCAAAGAAAATTTGATAATCTGGACAATGAATATGATGATAGGGAGATTAAAGATCCAAAAGAAACTCACTACTAACATCCTATACATGAGTACAATTCTATTTACTGAATTGTAGTGATTATCACTCCACATCCTTGCATCAGTGTGAATGAACCTAGGATATTAAAGCTGAAGCAATTATAGCAATAATTAATGATCTATGTCTAAACTAATATGCATGATTTTAATTAACCTGTAAAACTGCCTAAAGTTCAAAAAATAATGGTAGACTTTAGTGCATTAAGATGAGACCTCTACGTGTCATTACCCAGCTCATTGCAATAAACGCCTATGGAACACAAACTCAGCTCCCCGGCCCGGGGGAGTATTCCACAATGTTTCAGCAGCTAATCAGCGCATTTGGCATTTTAACCCTACCAGGTACCCCCTTATACACCTATGATGGAGAGAAGCAAGGTAGAAAGTGCATTGCTCATAGACTCAAGCTATTACTGCGCAGTGAGGGATTTAAAAACCTGTTCCCGCTGCGCCAAACCAGGATCCGTATTGGACAAAAAATTCCAACAAATCAAAAAGGATGTGGAAATTAAATGGAAGATGAATCAGTGTGCGATAAAAATAAGAATAAGTAAATGTGAGAAATTTTACAAAGGAAGTTTAATATGGCAGAACAAATAAATCATTATGTAGAACTAATTACTTTGAACTTAAGGTCATAAGTAGCAGCCTAGTTTTGAAATTTATGATGGAAATAAAACATACTCATAATTTCATATTAGATGCCAGTACTAGGCAAATGACTGATTGATAATGATAAGAGCTTCCATTTGAAGTGGAAATAACAATTTAGAGTAAAACCTTTAAGATATATGACCAGGTTAAATCTGAAAACTTTCAGATACATTGACCTGGTTCATTCAAAAAAAGTATCAAACATATTCTAATAACAAAGACATCATTTTTCAGTAGGAAAAATGTCTATGTCTTAGCCAACACACCTATTCTGAAATGGATCATTCCTTTTTTAATGGTATTTCTTCCAACTGACATTTTTTCCTACTGGCATTATTTCTGATTTCCATCAGAAAATATTAGTGAATGCAGATTTTCAGATATACAGAAATAACTAGAGTAATCGCTGCATAGAGTGCATACTGAATACTAAAATATATGCAGACTGTGTATGGGCGATTCCATCATTACCTTTTATGTTATGGGTAAAAAAAAATTACATTTTTGTGATCTTGAACTTGTCCTTTGACCTTCTTTCCAAAATTTAACTATCATTGTTTGATTATAATGCACCCTTCCACTAAATTTTATGATGATCCATTGATTAGTTTTTGCATAATTTTGCTAATTGACAGACAAACAGACAACCAGACAGACAGCGGAGAATACCTACATGTAACCCTTTTGGCTGAAGTAATTAAATTGAATTACAGCTCATTTGAGGGTCTGTTCAAAAAAAAAAATAACTAAATGTATAAATGTATTTAAAAAATTTTTTTTTTTATACATTAAGTGAAAGCTTATAACTTACTTTAAAAAAAATTAAGCAATTCAAATATTGATTTTTTTTTCTAATTAATAATTAGCTCAACAAGAAAAGTATTTTTAACTTGTGCCAATCCAATTGATGTATTGTTATACTCTGAAACTGACTGACAAAAAGTCCCTTTTTTCACTAACAATTTATGAATTACACTACGAATGTGTCTTTGATAGCTTCCGTCATTGACTAATGCTCCAATGCATTAAATGCTAAGTATTCAATTATAAAAAAATAAATTCATATTACTATAATTAAAAAAGAAAAATTATCATACATCGTTATTTTCACATAAGGTGGTGTCACCGGATTCACCTTAGCCACTGGGATGTCTTACCTGTCCGAATCATCTGTAGGTAATGTTACAGTAGCTAATAATCCAACATCACTAGTATTACTCATTGCTTTTCCATTCACTGTAAGTATAATATAGCATTAAGGTTATTTTTAATGGTATATGCCAGTCTGTACTAATTATCACGTATCATTAGACAATATTGGTTCAACTAGTTACTCTATAATAAAGGCAATACAATATTCACCTCATATGCACTTTTAAACAGAATGAAATTACTAATCTGCAACAAGAATATCAAAGAGTATAGAATTGGAAGAGGTCCGACTCTTGTGGTTTCGTTGGAACGTAAATGTATTTAAAAAACGTACTGCCATGAAGGGCGTGTCCTTAAAAGATGAGTTTTGAGTGAACTTTATTTGGATTCTAATAGGGTGCCTAATACCTTGTGGCCTTTACTATTTTTTAACGTTCCAAAATCAGGGCAGTTGGATCTCTTACAATTCTATGATACTCGAGTTGATAATATTAAGCTCAAATAGTTTCATCTGGTTTCTGTGATGTTGGATCGGAACATCACAAACAGTACGTATATTATTGGCTTACTTACAAGTACTTGTAAGATATTAAAAAATTAAAACCTTTTACTACAAAAAATTCTTGAACTAATTGCCAACTTAGCATTATATAAAGAATATTGGAACAATATTCATATGAAAATTAATTGTTAGCAAAAGGATTTTTTCCAATTCTAATTTTCAATTGAAAGATAAATTACTTAAATATGTTATCAAATTAAAATATGAAATTTTATCATTAACAATTTTAGCTTATTACAGATTGTATAATTACAAACAAAGTAGTACATCAAAGACAACATTCCCCAAACTATGGGCAGAGGCCCACATTTAGGCTGCGAAACATTTTTGGAGGGCCGCAAAGCCGTCTGAGAAATTAAAAAAAATTAATAAAGATACGTTTTAACATGAAGAAACAAACTTATGAATGGCTACAAAGTACATCATTTAATTTAGTTAAATTAGTTATACTTTAAAAATTGCAAAGAACAAACAATACTTTATAAATTGATTGACTCATATTACATAAATAATTAAAATATTAATTAAATTTTATTGCATGAAGGTACTGTTTTTAAATAATCTAGATTTTATAAAATGCCTGTCTTTTGTTTTTTAACAGAATTAAAAAAAAAACCCAAAAGTTTAACTTGGATTTTGCAAGAAGTAAACATTGCAATGTAGACTAAGCGAACATTAATAGCAATAGATAAAAGTATATAAGTCTCAAAATTCAATCTCATATACAAATTAATAAGAGTTATCCATCTCAGGCAATAACTGAATACATTTTTCTTTGTATTTTAAAGCTTTCATCAACCTTTTGAAAAGTTTAACCGAGAAGAATGGCAGAAATTTACGAGTCTTAAGATCCAATTGAATAATGTCTTCCATTTCACGTTTTTACTTTTCAAGTTAATGGTTGCAAAATCAGCCACGATACATTTATCTTTATCGTTATGCGACAGGAAGAATACCAAATTGAACTAAATGTAGGACTGTACAGTGACTGTATGTTAAGTTGAATCAATCTTCAGTAAAGTAGAGACTCCACGACTCAGCTTGGACGCAGCCTCCAAATTGGCTGAACGTTATTACATAATAGGAGTTTCAAGACATGTATCAATACTTATTTGAATGTCAATCTTTCTCATTGTTTGCCAATTATCATAATTTATGTTATCAATTTTTCTCTTTTATCATCTTCACTATGCTTTTATGATTTTTATTATGGATAGCTATGCAATGGTGATTTGGTGGTACATTGGTTTAGCTTAGATGTTGCAGACGTATTAAGTTTAAGAAGGATATACAATTTCAACACTAGGGACATGGTCCAGTTTCATCTAAATTTCTATACATGTGGGGATGATTAAATCCATAATATTTAGGAACAGTTATGAATTTAAATTCAAAGAAACGGGGACAGTTCCACATAATAAATATAGTATACTCTGAGGATAAAGAGATAGTTTTGTATGATTACTGTATATCCAGTGAGAAATGCAAATGTTGTTAACACTTTCAGACTTCATACATTGGACATTAATTACATCAGTGTCTGTCATTAGCTGAAGTAACACCCTAAACTAATTCTATCAAAGTAATTATTCTTGAGATGAGAAGACATTTCTGAAGAAGCAAATCAGAACTAACTAGGAAAAGTACTCCTGTGAGAGCAAAAGCATGGAAAAAGAAATAAAAGAAACGAAGACCATCAAAAACATAATATGAGGATCAGTTGAGAAATGACAGTGGATTAAGATTTTGGGAGACGGATAATAACGAAAGCAGCTAGTAAATAGAGTTTTTGACTTCGCTTGCCACTGTATATATCCATGAGATTGTTCTAATTTTGTATTTATTGTAATCCCACTACAGATGTTCAATACTAATATATAATCAGGCTTTTTTTTAATACTGAAATCATTTTAGAGTAACAAGGAAAATGCTGATGATTATAAATGATGACAACAATGATGATGATAAATGATGATGGCATTGATTGATACTGAAAACATTTAAGAATAATAATGATGATGAAAATGATGATGACATAGATTGATTCTGAAAACATTTATGAATAATAATGATGCTGAAAATGATGATGATTATGATTTGACTGTGACTCTGCAGGTCATGCACCCACTACTAGGCAGTTTCGCCACATGACGTTAACCTTAACGGATGACGTCATAATTTATTCATCTTGCGTTGTGGAGTACGTTAATTTCAGGATTTTACGTGCTTGACGTACATTAGTTACGGGTTTGCGCATGCTTATTCTGCATGTTGGGTACTAACGTTAAATTTAAAGTTAACGTCGAGTGGCGAAAAGTACCTACTGGCTCATATAAATTCCCTTGGTTGCTACGACAGAAACTTAGGCATCAAAATCTAACACAAATCTGCGAACATTATTATTTTATTATTAATTTATTTTATTTCACTTGCAACTTTACATATTAAACTTAAATTACACCTGGCACAGCAAGTGACAAGCCCAAAAAAGTTATACTTGAAAATTATCCTTTGCAGAAGAGACCCAATTTCAACCCAAAACTTATCTATTAATCTTGAAACTCTAGCGTCTAAATCCATCATCATTCACATGAAAATACAATTTAAACAAAATTAAATTAAAAACCCAATGTGGTAAGCATATAGAAAGGTAATTTACGGGTGCACTGACAAATGTAGCTACAGATAAGATCAAAGGGTTGTACGCTGACGTGGCAAGTGAAGATGAGCATCCCTTTGTTGAATTTTCTTGCTTCGGGAAAGTTTATTGTATTCTAAATGTAAGCTGTAAAGTTGTTAAATTTAAAGTAATATTCACTGAATATATATGTATTGTATTTCATTTTGTCGCCATTATACATATAAAAACTCTTATCACAAAACTCTAAGAACTGCTGCATTGCAATACAATACTTGTATACACTGCATCAAAATTCGGTACTTCAAGGGTCAATATTGATTCTTGTGCATAAAAACATTTATACATTAAAAGACTATAACAGGTTTCTTAGTTTTGAGATTTATTACCAGTAATGAAGACGAAAATGTAAGAATTAGAAGTTGCGTCGGTGTGGCTGCAGGCTGTGTCAGCTACTAATGCAACCGTTCAAAATTAATTATTCAGTCCAGCGGGAATACTCTTAACAAACATTATGCGCAATTAGGTTTTACTGAAGACCTCTTACAGATATGAAACTTAAAAGTTCTAGCATGTGACTGGATTGCTAAGTTAATATTCTGTTGGCTAAATAACAAAAATAGAACAATTCCACACATCATGGACTTTTTTTTGCGTGTCAACAAACAACTTAATGCAAAAATACAGGCAGCTTTAATATCAACAAAATATACTGATTTTTAGAAAACTTTGCAAATGTTAGTTCAGTTGTTAGTTTTTGATAGTTGTCACACGAATAAGCGCCCGGGTGGTTACAATATTTTTTGCACTTTCTGAGAGGCGCTTATTCCGCGGGCGCTTATGAAAATAGATGAAAATCGAGGGGTTCTTATGGGAACTTATTAAATTCACGAGGCACTTTTTGAATGAAAATATTTTTATATAAGAACATTACGAATGGTGGTGCGGCGGAGAAGATAATCCTCCGGAGAACATGGCTCATGACAAGAATGCTGTATTTTACATACCAATAACAGCAGAATAGCAGATGCAATTAGTGGTGGTGGGTAATGTTGTTAGCCATTGGCCGATTGGGATTAGCAGGATGGCAGGATCATTGTAGGTTTTCTTGAAAACTCAGATGAGAATGTGCTAAAGGTGCAAATTGTTGGAAAAAGAAAAAGAGGAGTTGGACTAGGCGTAGACAAATATATAAGAAGAGAAAAGTTGGAAATATACTGTCTGTCCAGGGATCGGAGCTCTCATCTGTCCAAGAGAAATATCCTCATTTTGATATTGACCTATAAGAAGAATGGTATTCCACTCTGCAGCTCAAATCATACCAACAACCACAGAAAGATTGATTGGATTATTGACTTGCTAAAAAAAAAATCTTATGATATTATTGAGGGGGCGCTTAATCAAATTAGAAGGGGCCGCTTATTCAAACGGGGCGCTTAAGGAAATTTTCGCGGGGCGCTTATTCGAGAGTGGCACTTATTCAAACGGGGCACTTATTCGCGCGAGTATTTTTTGTTATTATTAGTTGTTCATTGCAGTTACATGTTAGGTCTTGTTAACTGTTCAATCTTGTTAGTTGCTAGTTCTTGTTAGTTGTTAGATTTTGTTAGTTCTAGTTAGTTGTTAGTCTAGTTTTTAGTTCCTGTTAATTTTTATTTCTTATTAGTTTCAGTTCTTTGTATGTTGTTAGTTCTTATAGTTAGTTTTTAGTTCTTATTGGTTGTTAGTTCTTCTTGGTTGCAATTTAGTCATTTATTTTAAGTTGTTAGCTTAATCCCTCAGAAAATCAGAGCATCTTGTCAAAACCCTTCCCTTCAATAAATATTTCAACAGTTTCATTTTAGATTTTTTCCCCATTTTACAACGTTTATACCTTTTAAAACA